CGGATCTGGGATGGCGCCTCCTCCGCCTTCGCCCCAGCTGCTCCTCCTGGCAGCCCTGGCGGGGCTCCTGCGTCCCATGGAGGTAAGGCGACCCGCCCCTGAGAAGGCTCAGAGCTCTTCGCCGAAAGTTCGTCCTGGAAGGAGGAGCGCGCGGAGAGAGGACTAGGAGTCCTCCCCTGGCCGGCAGGGCCTGGGTTGGGAGAGGGCAGGGCCCTCGCTGAGGCCAGCGCCCCAGCTCTTCTGCGCCTTGGACCCACAGGTGATGGCTGAGCCGGCCGAGGAGGCGGGAGCCCGTTGTCCGGGGGGCCTGTGGTCTCTGCCCCCACAGGTAGGAGCCTGGAGGGCGCCGTGAGGGAGGGTGTGAAGGGGTAGCCAGTCCCGCTCTGGCCCCTCTGCACCTCCGGTCACCCTCGGAAGGACCTCTGCCGGTTCCTCCATCCCTCAGTGGCCAGTGTCTTCATCCCAACCTGGAGGCTTGGGGCTTACTGTCCCCTCCCCACGCCCCGCACAGGGCCTCCCAGCTGCTCTAAGCGCTCTTCTTTCCCCACATGTAGGTGTCACCGAGAGTGACTTACGCCCGGAGGAGCCCACGGCAGGTGAGTACTATCAGGAGCCATCCAGGTGTCTGCACTTGCAGGCGTTCTCTGCCTTTTCTGCTCATCATCTGCATTTGTTACCACTTCCCTCGGGAAGAGGCAGTGTGCTTAGTCCGGACGATGAGCCCCAGGCCTCTGTCTGCAAGGAATGCTGTTGAGTGGCTGGCTGTGTGGGCAGGATGATAGGAGGAAAAACAACAGCTCGTGCTCCAGGTGTGCTGTGTGACTGTGGGAAGTCCCCTGGCTTCTCTGGGGCCCGGTTTTCTCTAAGAGAGGATATCAGTAACGCCCCTGCCCACGAGGAGCAAACGAACTGTGTGTGGCAGCTGTATTGTGTCAGGAGCATGCCTCCGATTACGGGGCTCCAAGCCGTGGGTTCGCCTTGCATGGCTGCCTCTGGTTTTGCCAGTGGCCAGATAGCTTCCATATCCCTTGGGTTTTCCTTTTGAAAAATCTCACTTTTTTTTATCCTTGTGATAGTTCCAGGCCAAGAGACCTCATTCCACCTACCTGATTCCTGTCCTCAAACATCCCTTTCATGAAATCATTTTGCTGTTCAGAAGCCTTTGATGGCTCCTTATTTCCCACCTTATCATGACTGCACTCCCTTGCCCGGCTTTTCAGGCCCGACCTAGTTAATTAAGCCGTGTCTGAACTCTAATCCGTGGCTCACCTACCCCACCTGTGAGTGCCAAGCTCATTCCCATGGCTCTACCTTTGCTCCAGTGCCGGGGTCGGCAAACCGCGGCTCGCAAGCCACATGCGGCTCTTTGGCCCCTTCAGTGTGGCTCTTCCACAAAATACCACGTGCGGGCACGCACGTACAGTGCATTCTCCTCCACTCCCTGTCCTGAGGCTGACGCAGGAAGCTCCCTGGCCACCCACCATCCGTACACATCCTTCAAAGCCCAGTGCAGGAGTCCGCTCTCCCATGAGACCTTGCCGATCACATCAGCCCTTGTCCATCACCTTCTCTAAATTTGCATAATGCTTATAACTTAAATCTTATCACTTAACAACTAGCCAGTTTGAGTGTTATTAGTTTGCTCTTTCATTTGCATTAGCTCTGTTTCCCTGAGTTTCCTTTGCATTCCCTGCGAGTGGAGTCCAGGAGTTCTCTTTTGGCATCTCCTACAGCATCTGGCACAGTGCTGAGCATCAGGTCAGCTCAATCAAAGAATATTAATAATTGATCAAGTGTTTCCATCCTGGGATTGTGCACCTGCTGCCCGTGTGCCCTGTACTTGGATGCCTTTGGGAGACTAACTCTATAGACAGGATCAATGAAAAGAAGACTTGGTCTCCATAGAGGGGATGCTTACAGTCTAGACTGGGGACCTGTAGAACCGTCATTGCAGGTGCAGAGAAATACAGCTAAAGAGTGTGGTCGGAGCCTGACTGGGATGCCCAGGCACCCTGTCATGGAAGCTGTGAGCTCTGAGGGGTGGCACTTGATGGAGGAGGGGTGAAAGGAATGCTCAGAGGCAAGAGACAGTGCATGCCTCTACCCAGGGTCCTTTTTCCTCTCCTGAGCCCTCCTGGTGGAAGGGCCATGTTGCCTTCCTGAGAGTCCCTTTAACCTGGCCCCAGGATGGGAGAACGTGGGGCTCTCACAGAAGGCCCGGGCCTGGCTGGCTATCTCTGTGCCTTTCCTCCAGGCAGAGGATGTCAGCTTCCTCTACCATCCCTGTGCCCACCCCTGGCTGAAGCTCCAGCTGGTCCTCCTGGCCCACGTCCATGTGGCCCAGCCCTCCCTGGCCCCTGACTCCAGCCTCACTCAGGACCGGGTAAGTGGTTGGTGAAAGTCTGACATGGGCAGCGGCTGCAGCCCCGTGTGCAGGAGAAGGGACATTCGGGGGCTTCCTCTTGTTCCTTCCCCACCTTCATGTTAGCTCTTCCAACAATTGCCTTCTTTCCTAGCCCCTGGTGTTGGAAGCGTGGGGGGTGGTGCTGGAGATGGCATGGGTGGAGCCAGCCTGGGCTGCCCACTTGCTGAAGCGAAGGCGGTGGAAGAGGCAGAGGAAGAAGGTGCAGTTCCTCTCCGACAGCCTTTCTGGGCCCTCTCCCTGGGCGCGCACGCCGGGCAGAGGGAGGCTGTGCGGGAGAGGGTGTGTGCAGGTGAGGAGTGGGGCCCAGCGTGGTTGGCGGCGTGGTCATGGGGTGACCTGGGGAGAGAGAGGATGAGTGCTGTCTCTTCTCCCCTAGGCCCCAGCTTTGGCCTTTACTCTGCGGAGCTGGCGGCCCCCAGGCCCAGAGGTGGTGTCTCGAGGGCCCAGGCAGCCCTCCCCTGGTGGTGCCAAGAGGCGCAGGCTGCGGGCTGCCCTTGGTCTCCAGCCTACTTCCTCAGCCCCGAGGTTCCCCTCCGCTTCCCCATGGAGCGTGGAGACCAGGAAGGCCAAGCTAGGAGCCCCAGGTGAAGGGGGTGATGCTCCATTTGTGCCCACTGCCCCCCTGCTACCTGGGGGGCCTCGAGGCAGTGCCAGCTCCAGGATAGAGGCCCAGATGCCCAAAGGGCAGAGCAGCCCAGGTGGCTGTGCCTGTCCAAGCCAGGCTTCCCCCGCCCCTCGGGCAGCAGCGCCTCCGCGGGCAGCCCGGGGCCCCACCCCACGCACGGAGGAAGCTGCCTGGGCTGCCATGGCCCTGACCTTTCTGTTGGTGCTGCTCACCCTGGCCACACTCTGCACTCGGCTGCACCGAAACTTCCGACGCGGGGAGAGCATCTACTGGGGGCCCGTGGCGGA